TTCAAAAGCTGGATTTACATGGCATTCAACTTTTGAACTATGCTGTCTTCTAAGTTTTGTTCTCCTAAGTTCAGGCCTTGTAAGCTACTATGAGGGAATCAGCATTCATGGCTCTTGGCATGGGCCATAAGAAAACTAGCTCCCTGAGCTGGCTTCGCCCATGGCCAGTTGTCAGTGTATGTCTGGCTGTCCTGGCTTCAGTGGACAAGGTCCAAAGGGAGTGGTTACCATTAGGAGAGCTTGTTCTGTGGGAATTGGGTTGGGTGAGAAAAGGGTCCCAAGGGAACGGGTCACTCCTTCCATTCTGACCTCACAGCAACTTACACAGTGTCCAGGGCCCTTGTAATAGCAGCTCAGTTCCAGCCTGGGCAGCCACCTGTAGTGAGTCAGGTCCTAGCAACGGAAGCCCAGAGAATGCAGGACAGTCTTGATCTGGGCTCCTTCTACTCTCACAACCTCTTCAGTCCTGCTTGGAGTAGACCAGAGAGCCTGGTCACTGTAAAGAGATTATAGGGTCTTCATTGCAGAAGACCTGGAAATGGCTTCCTCCCTCTGGATGGTGTCACCTATAGGATTGGGCCTGTTGTTGGTGTGATCATACTGCCAGAGCTCTGGTGTTCTCTCCAGATGGTCTCACTCTGTTCCATTACTGCTCCAGGCTTGCAGTTGTCCTCAGGTCTTACATAGGTCAGATCTGGCCAAGCCCAGGAAACAGGCTGGGTTGTAACATCAGGCAGAGGCCCTGCTCTTGCTGAAGCCCAGCTGAGACTGGAGTAGAAGGATATAGCATTTTCAGGGGACTGGGAGTGACCCAGGGCAGAGAGTGAGTGCAGGGACAGAAGCCTTGAATAGGAACCTCTCAGAGAGCAAGTTTCTACCTGCATGCCAGCTTCTCTCTGTGGGTTTCAAGACACAGTCTACAGCCTCCTGAACTACAGGATGCCCAGCCCAGTGATTCTCAACCTTCTAAATGCTGCAACACTTTAATACAGTTCCTCATGTTGTGGTGACCCCCAACCATAAAATTATTTCATGCTATTTCATAACTGTAATTTTGCTACTGTTATGAACTGTAGTGTAAATATCTGTTATGCAAGATATCTGATATGAGATCCCCCAAAGGGTTGCAACCTCCCTCTTCACTAGCCCCTCCCCACGGCCTGCCTCGGAGGCAGCCAGCAGGGACCACAGTTACTCAGGCTCTGCTTTTATCTCTCCCTGCTTAGCATGTTCTTATCTCTCCCTGCTTGTTCATGGCTTATGCTTAGCAGGTTCCAGAAAGATAGATAGATAGATAGATAGATAGATAGATAGATAGATAGATAGATAGATAGATAGATGAGGGTAAGAACTAGGACCCTGTGGTGGCCAGAAGATGAAATAGCAGAATATTACATCAGCTGGAGATGAGAGTGTGTGAGGTGTTCCTTCTTCTAAAATAAGGTCAGTGGCCTCAGCCACTAAAGGAACAGAGTCAGTAGCACAAACAAATGGGACACAGTTCTCTGGGGACCTTCCCTGAGCTTAGGTTGTAATGGGTTTATCTCTAGATTGCTGAGGAGCACACCTGGTGGGGGTTGTCCACATACTATCACACTGTCCAGCCCTATTGGCTGGCAAGGGACCATGTGTGAGCAGTGAACCAGGCAGGGCTGTGCTCAAGGACAAACTACAGATGACAAAGTAAAAACCTTTGACCCTCAAAGGACTGCAGAATGTGTGCTGTGCTCGGCCCTGGCTCAAGTTTCCAGACAAATTTGAGGTAGATGCCTGTGCATTTGAGGGCCAGCAGAGTGGGTGCTGGGGAGGCAGGCACCCTGGGGAAGCAGAAAAGCCATCAATAGTGTGATGCTGACCACCCTTTGCAGCTCTACCTAGAGCTCTGGGGGAGGGGCCACCTCAGAATTTTTGCTCCCCCACTGTGACTAATGTCTACATGTGTACTTCCATTTCCCACCAACCCCATCATCACCTTGGGTGAGCCAGCATCCTGAGAGGAATTCATTGGTGAGCAGCTGCAAGGATGGGGAAGGAAGCTGCCATACCCATTCTGGTGGCTTTTTGTTGGTGATGGTTGTTTTTTTGGGTTTTTTTGGAGGGCAGAGAGTATCTGTCCTAGAGAAAGGGAGCACTCTTGGAAGTCTGCATGGCAAAGGAGGCACTTTGAGACTTCTTAAATACACAAGATGGTGGTTACTAGGCACAGGAACATGCCTAGAGACTGGGCAGGCTGAAAGGACAGAATTGGGTTGTCCTCTGTCGCCTTTGTACCTGGTTGGGAAGGGATTTTTCACAAGTGAGAAAGTCAAGACAAGAAACAGGTTCTGGAGCTGGAAGTCTACTAGTCCTGGGGTTCAGAAGTAGAAAGGAAAGCCAAGAGATGGGGAGATCAGATCATATAGGGAGAAGCAAGGACACAAGGATCAGTGACCCACTGATGGGAGTTACAGGCCAAAATCCGTTTGATGAGGAAAAGCAGAGCAAGGTAGAGCTGGTGGCGCAGGTAGTTTCTGCTTGTGGACCTTGGGTTGGGGAAACCAAGAGGCCAGAACTGGAGGGGAAGGCCAGTGCTGACCCTGGCTGATGCTGTAGACTCGGGTGCAATTTGCCCTCCAAGTAAGCTGACCACGGGCAAATGGGAGAAGAGCCTTCCTTACAGGGAGCTGGGTTAGAGGAAGCTGCCTAAGGAAGCTCCTGCACCCCCTTTTTGTGGAACACAGAGTCTCATATGATAAGTCGGAGTGCTCCCCAACCTTGCCTCTCTTTGCTCAAGGATGCCTCCTCCTCGCTCTCCAGCTGGTCTTCTCCACTCATGTGCATTACCACAGCTGAAGAAGGAACCATGTTACCATGCTAAGTCAACTCCCCAGAGCCCTCAATTCATGCTCCCCAAAACACAGACACAATTTTCTTGTTGTGGTTTTTGTTTTTCAAGACAGGGTTTCTCTGTGTAACCACACTGGCTGTCCTGGAACTCACTTTGTAGACCAGGCTGGCTTCTAACTCACAGAGATTCACCTGCCTCTGCCTCCTGAGTGCTGGGATTAAAGGCGTGCGCCATCATTGCCTGGCCACAGACATCGTTTCAAGACTGCCCATCAAGGCTGGAGGCAAGACCATTGGTGGCTGGTGTGAACAAACTAGGGTTCCACAGAAGTTGAGGTGGAAACCGAGGGAGAACACAAGTTGGATTCATAGTCAGGAATAACCATAGAAGGAGAGTTGTTTGTGTTTTCATCATCTGAAACAATTAACTTCTCAGTGAAAGAAGTTTTTATTGGATTATGTTATATCCATCCATATTTTGTTTAATTTTAAAAATAATCTTATGACCGAAGCATGGCAGTATAACAGTGAGCACTGATGCTGTTGCTGTTGTAAAATTGACTTTGCAGAAGGGGAAACTGAGTGCTGGGGAATTGGCTCAGGTGGCACTGGTCACCAGTGGCAGAGATGGAGTGCAGA